AGTGTTACTAACCCTTGAGTCCATCAGTACTTCAATTCAATTGCTTATGTTTGTTTGCTGTTTGACAGGATACGAAATAATAATTAAGCTCAGGTGTTTGATGGAGGCTCAATTATTTCGGGAAAAACTGCCAAATCTTTCAGACAACCTTGGCAGTGAGGCATCTGATAAGGTATGCCCTGTTGAAATTGACCTTGTACGTGAGACATAGTGCTACACCTTACTCTGGTATCAACTGCAGGGGCATGCATATGATGTTTGGTTTGCCATACACCATTTAGCAAGAATGCTATACAGCGACAGTCCTAATTTGCAGTACACCAGTATCCTTTGAAAGATTTCAAATATGTTCTTGGAGAGAGAAATTCTGTTACTCCCTTAAGTTGGTAACTTTAAAGACACTTTCTACGTCAAACAGCTCACTAAAATACTTGAAACAAATTCCAAATAGAGATTTTAATAACTTCCCAGACATTTTAAGGACAATTAAAATGATCTACCAAGATTAAGGCATCTATATTCTAAAACCACATTCATCTTTTTAAAGTAATGATTTCAGATGTCAACCCTTGTGACAATGACCCAAACCCCAGGAAAATTGATCTGATCCATAATCGCTTTAGCATGTATATTTTCGATCTCACTATACCAAATCTACACCTTTCTCACTCAAAATCGTCTTCAACAATATAGGAAGCTCGCTGTGGAACCAAAATAAAGTTGATCCACAACTTACGCCAGCTCCTCCCAACCATAGATCATCTTTATTTTTCAATCCAACAGCATGCTAGTTTCCCAGATTTGGTTAAAATCTAGTCCTAGATATCATGCCCATAGTCAGAGGAGCAAAGCTAGCTTTGAGCTACCTAAAGTTGTGGTACCAATTTCTTACGGCCCAAACCTAACCCCATCTTAGGCAACAATTGAATGCCTTCCGAATTCTCATTAAAACTCACTAGTTCAATGATAAGTGTTAATTTGGCATCTTTTTAGTGTGTTTGATTACTTAATTTTTGGTGTATTTTAGTTTTTTTAATAGTTAAATAACTAGGGTTCTAGTGAATGTTGAATTTTGTGGTTTAAGTGTGAAAATTGCATTTCTACAGTTTTAAGTGGTTTAAACTTCATGTTTTTATAGACGTTAATAGTTTAATCGTCAAATGAAGTAAAGTAAGATGATATTTGCAAGATTATTAATGATTTAAAGTAAACATGAAGTGCAAATTGTTTAAAGTGTAAAATGCAAATAAGATCAAAAGCAGAAAAGATTGGTTGCTCTGACACCTTCTGATATTTCAGCTATAACATGAGTTACAAGTATTGAATTGAGATAATTATTGAACCATTTTGAAGACAAGAAAAAGGGTTGCATTTCTTATGAAACATAAAAATCCAGTTTATATGTTTTCATGGTCAAAATTCTGAAATACAGAAGTGCATTTTTACTGTCAAAATCTGGAATGAGGTACTGACTAGTTAAGGATATTTCTATCATTTCTCAGTCTACAAAGATCTAATTGACATGATTCTTCATGCATTGGAAAGCAAATTCAATTATCTACAATTTCTTATTTTCTACAAGAGTTAGTTCGTCTTTTTGCATCAAGAAATTTGAAGTTCAAATTAGTATAGAAACAAAGCAATTTCCACAATTATTAGAAAAGTGCAAACTTGCAGGGTAGGACAAATCACAGCCTAAAATGTAACCTAGCCCATGTTTTCCATGCCTCATTTTCATATTTTTGCTATATAACTTACTCTAACTTGCAGCCTATTTACACAAATTTTTGGACCACTTTTCTGAACAAAATTCGGTGGGAATTGCCCAAGAAATCATGGAAACTTGCAGAATCAACTTTTGGCAATTTCAAGGAGCGATTTGCATCGACTTTAAAAAGTTGTTTGTGAGTTTCAATATTTTATAAATAGGCTTCTTATGAGCTTATTTTGGTAACTTTGAAGGCTAGAGAAACTACACAAAATGTAATCTTTCACTAAAAATTTTTAGTTCATTAGTGGAATATAGTTTAGCATAGTTACTCTCATCCAATCATTGTATATAGCTGGACGTATATGAAGTTGAGAATAAAGATGGAGAGTTTGGAATTCAAGTGATAAGGGTAACATCTCTTCTCTCAGTTTATTTCTTGTATTGATTTCTATGTTTAGTTATTATATAAGTATGGATCTTGTTTTCTTGTCTTTCATGTTTATCTAGTTTGTAAACCTAGGGTGTGAATAGCCTTATATGATTGTTAGGTGAGTTTCTGATGGCCATTTGAGCTTATTTCTTGAGTGAGTTATTTAGTACCTTTGTTATAACAATCATAACTAATTGGTCATTAATTGTGATTATCTAAAGATGTTGTTTAATCAATGAACATTGTGATTCAATACTAGTGCATGAAATTGTTAAATTTGGGGAGTTAACTTACTAATGTAGGATTGCACCTTTGTGACTTGGTGGCTTACTTCATATAATTTCATAGAACCTAATGAATCTATAGTTAGTTTCATTTCATATTAGTAGACGTGGAGTAGTTATAAATATGGTTGGTATACTTGCAAAAGCGTGTATCACGTATATTTGAAAATTATGTCATAACTAGTTAAGGTAATAATAATCATTTAACTAATAATTTCACTTGCAAGAATAGTTAGGAATTCCACGACCCTAGGAGCTCTCTATCCTTAGTTCTACTACTTTTATTCCATATTTGTTGTAAATTTAATTTCTTGTACTTGTGATAATCTAAATAATAAGAGCTAAAAACCTATAAAGCCCCGAAACTAATCATCGTTGTTAAGTTTTGGCCCTTGATCTAAATGCTATATCTAATTGGCCTTTAAACAATTAAAAGTATATAGTTTTAAGACTTGCGGTCATTTTAGCAATAAGTCAAGCCGGAATCAAAAGGCTTTTTTCTTCAACTGTAATTGAAGCATCAGAACCAAAATTAAAGGACATAATAATCTCTCTCTCACCAGCTTTATCTACTTCAATCAAAAGAGAGTTCTCTCTCGCAGCTTTAAGGTAGAAGAAGCGAGGAAGAAGCTGCCAAGATCAAATCCAATGCCTCCAATATGTGACTATGGGTTGAATACCGATGTGAAAACACCATGGACTCTGTGGAATCCAGGTCCACGATATGCTGAATGCTTGCTTGTCTGCCGATCTGTAGCAGCTTTCAATCAAAGATCTATCCCACGTAACCTTCAGTAGTTGTAATTGAACAATTAATCGACCATACTTAAAAAGCAACAACCAAATTTCCTAAAAGAAATGTCCGTTAACACAATTATTTCATCTGTGCCCTTGCTAGTTTGTAAATAACAAGGCAGCTACCAAACTGAGGGGGAAAAACACACTTTGCATTAGTAAATTAGCACAGGAAAAATTTCTTAATTTAGTTGTTGGAAATGTTACAATCGAATATTAATATAAGAAGTTGAGTGATTGTCTAAATTTATTTGCTCATGATTGAGATTTTTGGTGGTCTTAATCTGTTGTTCTAATTCTGGTATATAGTATCTTCTAACCGAAAATTAACTTTATTTTATCTAAATTTTGGAAACATTGAAATAATACATTCCCTCTTGTTAGCGTAATAGGTGAAAGTTAGAAAAGAATCCAACTGAAATTGACATATTATAATTAAGTGTGAGTGGAGTGCATAAATGATCATGAGAGCATTTCAAATTCTTTAATATGTTTAAAGAAAATACGAGAAGTGTTTTTTTTAATATGTAGTATTGAATATTTTTGTAAATTGAAGAAATTATAAAACAAATTTAACAAGATGAAAATGGATAAACAGAAAAGGAAGTAGAAGTCATTGGCGGATTTTTACTAGGGCGCGGGTCCCACTGCCCCCTTAAATTTCCATGATAGTTATAAAAATTTGATGTAATTTCAATTGTACTCCTAGAGTTTTGTGTATCTATTGATTTATAGGTCCCCACCGTCCCCTTAAATTTCTATAATACCTATAAAAATTTGATGTAATTTCAAGTGTACCCCCTGGAGTTTTGTGTATCTATTGGTTTAAATGCTTTTTAAAGTTGTGTTTGATTTTACATGTTGTTATAACTACCGTAGAGAGGGTTTTTTCAATGATGAATATAGTGAAGAATCGGTTATAAAATAGAATGGAAGACACTTGGATGAATAATTGTTTAGTTACTTATATTAAGAAAAATATATTTTGTGAAATTCAAAATGAAAGGTTGTAAACCATTATCAAAATATGAAAACTTGTCACGAGCAATTGTAAATGGTTTAGTTTGCACTTATTATTACATTAATAATTTTGAATTTGTCTTTTGATGTTTTTCATGAAATATATGCATTATTTGTACTTGTTGGTGAATATTTTTTTCCTTAAAAGACTAAAAAAGAATAGATAAAAAATTTTAGAATTATTTTTGCCCCCACTGAAAATTTTTTCTGGCTCTGCCACTGCATATATTTCACTGAAAATATGGTGAACTTCTGGCAGTGGGCCCATCTTTTCATATTCATGAATATATTTCACCATATATTCATGAAATCAGTGGTGAAATATATGAAGTTCACCATATATTTCACCATATTTCACTGAAAATTCAAAATTTTTTGAATTTGTCTTTTCTCCTGAAAACACCAGTAAAAAATCCTGGTTAACTGATTTTGATTAACATTAACTAAATAATTAGTACTACTATGATTAATTTTAGCACTCATACTTTAGCAAGAAACCCACAAACCAAACGTCTCGTCAAATTATAACATGTAAAAATTTTACAACGAATCTTTTGTCTTACTTCCTATCTGTGCTAATTTCTGTCCCATCTTTTATTATATTACTATTTCTTTTTCATAAACATCACGTTTTAGTTTTTTTTTTTCGTTAAAATTCAATAACTATTAATTGAGCCCAAAGCCCAGATCCAAAGTCCAAAGCCCGAACCCTTTCCCGATACCCCTGTAACAAGTTATCCCCTCCCCTCCTCCCCTGCTCCACTCCTGAGAAACAATCCACCAAATTCAAGAGTGTTCCCAGATGCTGCTGATTTCAAGAATCAAATGGGTTCTCCAAAATTCCCTTTTCTGCCACCACCACCCTTCAAAAGCCCATATTTTCTCCTGAAAGCACCAGTAAAAAATCCTCGGTTTTTGGCTGCTAAACCCACAACCTAGTCATCAGCATTGCCAGATACGAAGCTTGAAATCAGAAGCTACTTCTGCTGCTGCTTATCTTCTTCTGGTGAAATTCACGTGATCGTGGGACCGCATGTTTGCCGGAAAACCTTCCACTCTTCTCAGGAGGATTAGACCGACAGTAGTATATGGAAGGTAAGGTTCCCCTTTCTTTCAATTTTCAATTTCACAGTTGTTTTACTAATTACCATATCTTGATTAGCATCGCTTTTATTCTTAATAATCTTGCACTTTTTACTTAGTTTGTCAAATTCTCAGTGGAAACTGCATGCTCTGACTTATAAACACTTGACAAATTGCTGAAGTACTACAGCAAAAAGTACTAATGTATGTGGGTTTTGTGCTGTATTATACGTGCTTGGGTAAGAGCCGTATTGATTATTTGCCGTATTAAAACAAAAAAATTTTCTTTTAGGCTGTATAATTTTTACAAATATATGTGGGTTCTGCATGAGGGATGGATACAAGTATATAATTGTTTATATAGCTGAAGTAAATGGTATCAATGTAGGCCACGAGAGTAATTTTTCCAGTGAAGACTGTTTGTCAATTAGTGAACGTTTTTATATATCATAAATGACTAAAGGCTAAAGTTTTGTCTTTTGTAAGACTCTTGGAGGGATTTTCAAACAACAACTTGAGCATATTATGTGATTGTAATTACTGGTATTAATACAACTAGAATGAATAATTTTTTCCAGATCCTGTTCCGCTTCTTTGAAGATGAACAAGGGAACTAGAGTTGTTCTTGCTGTCAAATTAAATCATCGTTGATGACATTCCCAGTTTTCAGGCTGATGCTAGAGAGATTACCCTTCAGTTGGATGAGACTTTGAAGGATTGCTGTTTTCAGGAACGGTAGTGGAGGCTGTTCAGATATTATGCCAGGCAGGGGTTCAAGTAGAATCAGAAATCGTAATCTAGCCCACACTCTTTTTTTCAATAAGTTGCAAATGAAAAGCTTGGTCTCATGGAATTCGATGATTGTAGGTTATGTGCAGAAAGGTTTGGAAGAGGTGGGCTTGAGCATGTTCCATAAGCTGATAAAAAATGGTTTGATACCAGACCATTATACCTTTGGATCAATCTTTAGGGCTCATGCTTCTTTAGCAATCCTGGAACAGGGCAGGCAAGCCCATGCTCTGTGGATCAAGTGCCAAATTTGTGGAAACCTTGTAGTTAATAGTGCTCTCATGGATATGTATTTCAAGTGCAGTAGGCTCTCTGTAGGGGATCTTGGATTTGAGAAGTTTCTAGATAGAAATGTTGTTACCTGGTCTACTTTGATATCTGGATATGGACAACATGGAAGAGTGGTAGAGGTTATAGAATCCTTGCATAGGATGTTAGATGAAGGTTTTAGTCCCAACCATGTTACATTTCTTGCTGTTCTTGCTGCTTGTAACCATGGAGGTTTGGTGAACAGAGGCTGGGAGTACTTTACCTCAATGACTAGAGATTGCAGATTTCAGCCAAAGGGAAATTGATCTGTTAGGGCCTGCTGGTAGGTTAGTGGATGCTTATGAGTTTGTCATGAGTTCACCTTGTAAGGAGCACCCTTTTGTATGGGGTGCTTTACTTGGGGCTTGTAAGATTCATGGAAATATGGACTTGGCAAAGCTTGCAGCGAAGAACTTCTTTGAGTTGGAATCCAAAAGTGCTGGAAAATATGTTGTCTTATCAAATGCTTATGCTTCTTTTGGTTTGTGGGATAATGTAGCCGAGCTTAGGAGTGTGATGAATGAATCTGAGATGAAGAAGGAGCCTGGTCATAGCATGATTGAAATTCAAAGGGAGGCTCACTTTTTCTTTATGGAGCATAACACTCATGAGAAAACTGAGGAGTTATCAGTTAAATGAAGATCTGACTTGTGTCCTGAAAGATATGGGGTATATTCCTCATGCCAAGTAATTAGTTGACAGGATTAAGTTTGAGCTATGCCATCATATATGCAGCTAATGCTGTAGATTGGGTTGCTGCTTTTTAGGAGGGGGGAACTTCTGAAAGCTTTAAATTCTTGGACTCTACTTCATCCTCGTGTCATGCATACTAATTTTTTTATAATTAGAGAAGGAGATAAACATTTCTATGGTCATTATATTTCCTCTAATGGTTAGGAAAAGACCTATATGTGAAATATGTAGGAAAGATTCAGAAGGGTCTTTGCCATTACATCATATTGAGGACCGTTTGGATATTGATAAATATTCAGATCATATTCAGGTGATGCTGGAAGTTATTCAGGAGTCGAGCTTCACGGTGGATGTCTGAACTTTTTATGCAGAGGTTTATGGATTGAATGTATTGGAGTTAGTAGAAACTGGCACTTGGTTAATCATGTCGCTTGAGATGCCATTTCTTCCATTCGAGTTCTTTATGTGCTTTTTGTGTTCTGAGTGCTCAAGGCTTCTTAGCAAATTAGACAATTTGATCTTATGGAAACTTTTAGTTACCATTTCTATGGTCAATTATTGGGTGAATTCAACATATGTAACTCCAGTTCTAACTGTTTAATCAGTTGAAGACTATTTTCTGGTGTCTTAACATTCTAAAGTTCTAGAATCCTTCTACAACCAATGTATCATACACGGTTTGTTAAACAGATTCTTTATTGCCTGAGATACTGATTTAAGTTGACTGTCTTATTATCTTCAATTTATAGCGCATGCTGGAACAATATGAAGAGAAAATCGACATGTTCTGTTGGCCTTTGGCATAAAGAAATAAGAAAATTCCTTACTCTGCATCTGATTATTGTCCATGTAAGAGAAATTGAAATTAACACGATTGAATTAAGCTTCACTTTGAGTAAAAACTTTTAAATTTTGGTTCCCTTTAATTTTTTTCCCCTTTCTTGTTGGGGCTTTTTTTTTTTTTTTTGGGTTGGGGGGGGGGGGTGTTTGGTATCTGGTTGGTTCTAGGCCAATTGTCTTTTGGGTGTATTTGTTTTATTCCTTTTGGTATTATGCTGGTAACCTTGGCATCAAGGCTGGCATTGGAGATCTTGTTTTCAATTACCATAATAAATTATATATCCAAGAACCTCCTTTACACAAAACTGTTTCTTGAAATAGATTAGAACTTGACACTGATTTAGTTATTTTGACATTGCTATTTGTCCCATTTGAAACTGTACCATCTGGACAGAAAGGATTTTTGGTGGATGTAAACATGACCTCTGTTTATCTCATTCTTATGTAATGAGTATCTGTATGCAGAAGTATTGCAATTATAAAATCAGATAAGGACACTAAGTATGCATTGGATTCAATTGTTACACTTGATGGAGAAAAATTGCCATTCAGACAAAAGCTTGGTAGTGAGGCATATGATAAGGCATGCCCTATTGAAATTGACCTTGTACTTGAGATGCCGTGCTGCATCTTAGTCTGGTATCAATTGCCTGGGCATATGATATTTGGTTTGCATATACTATCTTGCAAGAATGCTAAACAATGACACATTGTTTGTGTCAACCAATATGGATACTGCATATTTTATGATGAATATGGGACTTTTCAGAATTTTGCATTGGACCATTATGACAGTCCTATTTTGCAGTACACCAGTATCCTTAGTGGTTGCTATTACCATGATTACAGCTAAAAGTTATTCGTATAGATGAGGCACAATTTTTTTGAAGACCTTTATGATTTCTGTCTTGAAGCTGCTGACTATGATGGCAAGGCTGTGATTGATGCTGGATTGGATGGTGACTATCTAAGGTACTACTAAATTTTGCATCTGGATCTATCTAGTCATCCCGTATAGTGTTGGTGGATGCTCTCTTTTTCTTATCGATTCAGGCAGTATTTAAACATGTTTAAGCTTGTTTTCTGATTGTTGGAAGCTTTCATCCTTTGCATTCTGATGAGTTCCCTCGGTTTTTGGATTCTGAATCTTGATCTTCCATTCGTCCAGCACATCATCCATCTCATATGCTATATCTTCAAGCTTTTCGAGCCAAATGCCAACATGTTTCTCCATCAGCCTTCTTCTCTCTGCATCATGCAAAAGTTTTTCAATTGTTTTCAACTTAGAGGAGATATTTCCCACCTTTTCTTCAACCCCATCACCAGGTTAACCTTCTCCCCAAGCTGCTTCACGACAACATCACCCAATTCATCTATTATCTTTGGAACAAACAATTCAGCCATTGCTTTGGTTTTTTGGGGTACAAGGAGTATTGGAAATCAAATGATGCAAGGATAGAACACAATATGATTTGGAAAGCATATTTTTTTGTATTATTCAGAAGAAACGGATTCCTTACTAAGGAGTTAGGACTACTCCTACCGGATCTCGAGCTTTGGGACTGTTTGGAATGTAAAATATCTTTAACAATTAACCTAAAAGAAAATAACTGTTTGGACTGTATAAGTTTTTTCACCCTTATTTTACCCACATTGGATGCCTTCAGATTGAGCAGCCTTTTGTACAAACAAATTACTACAAAACAAAACGTGCTGATGTGGCAGGCTTTTCTGATGGAAAAGTAAAAGTATCTGTTGGCTGTAGGAGTAAAAGCCATTTACTCCTCAAAATATCCGACAGGCTTCACGTGCAGAGTTTCTTCTAAGCCATTTTTTACCCAATTTCATCTAGCTCCCACCGGCCAAAGAGCTCCAAGCAGATCCAGCTGGGACGATTTCCTGGCCAACAACAACACGCTTGATACGAATTGCTTGCGAGACTGAAGGTGGTGGTGGTTTTCATTCAGCTTGGCAATTTCACCACTCCAGCGGCAATTTGGATTTGCAACACTCCAGCTGTGATTCCGGCAAGGTCTCCGGCAGGTATGTTCCCGGACAGTATGCAAACTACTTCTTAGCAATTGTCATGGCTGAATCTGAAACAGTGCTTGCGGAATCAACTCTGTAGTTATGTTTAACAGCATAACTTCACAATTAAGGCTAATTTACAGAGACCGAAAAATAATAGTGGGCATTAAGGTTTTTTGGGTTTAGGAAGTAACAAAAATAGTGTGATTAAATTCCCAACGGAATTTTTTGGGTTTATGATACCTAGTTCTTTTTGCTGGTCAATGGAATTTTGAATTCTCCGTGTTTAATTGTTCCTCACTCTGTTAAAAGTCTGAAATTTGAGATAATAATATGTTTTTCTCGGTGAAATGAAATGCCAAAAGCTTCTGTAGAGGTGTTTATAGAATGTTGATACTTAGCTTAGGGTACCGTGAAACTAGTACTCTGTATTGGTAGTGCAAAACTGGTTACGAATGTTCTTTGTTTGAGATTATTTGGACAAAATGGAAAACAAGATTGAGGACTGACGACTGAGGCCGGCAGCAATAAGATCACTGACAAAAAAGTGACAATCAGTGAAGATAGGGATATGGTAAGAATGCTCTGGGGATTATGAAACTGGAGGACCAGATGGGTTTCTTGATTAGTTGTTAGATTTGACATAAACGAGGGATATCTCTTGGGGTTCATGGTTTAGCTTTGGATTATGGTTTGACAACTGTTTTCGTGGCTCTTAATTATGTGGTTTGGTTAGTGATGTGCATTCCAAAGGATATCTTTTTAATTATTTTTTCCTGTATCTCTATAACAACCAAGACCTTTTGCAATACAATAACAAGTGACTACTTTCTGTGATGAACATTTTTACCCCTGTTCAGGGCTTACATTTTATCACCGCTCCCAGTGATGGGCCTGTTCTTAAACTGTTGTAAATGGCATAAAAGACAAACTTATACTATGTAGGATTCTTTACATTTGGTGCCCCTTAAATGCTGATGGAAATTGTGCTACATCAATATTGGCATAACCTCTATACTTTCAAGAAATTAATTGTGATTAATATGCTCTTGTAGATGTTTATCTTACAAAGGTTCCTATCATTAATATTTTGGCCCTTACTGTTAATCTGTACAACAAGATAAATTGCTGAAGAATCGTGACTAATAATATAGGATTCCAGCTGCTGTCCATACTTTAGTTGTGACGCTGTTAGCTATTCGGTTATGACCGCTGACAAGAAGAAGCCTTCCTGCGATTGTATGTCCTTCTTGCATGTATATATGTATTCTCAAGTAATTTTCTATGCCAATTATTTGAGTCTAACTAGTTATTGTTGGAATTTTGTAGCCTCACCTGTTAGCTATACTTCCGATTGCTCCTCCCGTTCGTCAACTGCCTCCAACAACTACATCGACTGTCTTTCCACCTACGTTGAGGCAAGTGAATTCGTACTGTTCCCTAAAATTTGCCCTGTTTTTCCCCAGCTATTATTTGTCGATTTCATTTTTCCATAGCGCTTTAAAATATTTTTTAATATCTGTTTTGCGCTTACATTTTTTTTTCCTCCCCCACATTTCAGCAAATGGCTTCTAGGATTCAATGGACCGATGCAATGGATGAAGCTTTCCTCATAGCATACGTTAGCTTTAGGGAAAATAACTGGTGGGACAACAAGAAGTTGCTTGAGACAAACTACGACATGTTGGCAAGCCATTTGGTAAGTAATGGCATCATGACCGTCACTGGCCAGCAATTGCAGACCAGATACTATCACATCAAGAAAAAATGGGACTTGTTCTGTAATCTGCGTGGGATATCCTCAAAATCTGAGACCGGGGTTGGGTGGAATGAGGACAGCTACTGCTTCACTGCTGATGAAGAACATTGGCAAAACTTGGTGCAGGTGTGGAATTATAGATGCCTTTACTTCTGTTAATTTACTTGCTTATGATGCTCTTGAATGCTTATAGCTGCAATCAACTACTTCCCATTTCAGGAATTTGCTTAAAAAATGTCTCCTTGGTTTAGAGGATATTCGTGGTGATTTTCAACAGGATTAGTTTGGATTTCTGTTTAGCTGTCTCCTTTAGACAATTAGAATTGCTGCTGAACTTTGGTAGAAAAAGGGGCCAAAACTTTGAACTGGGAACCAAATGTTTACTTGAAATTGGCACTTGTTACTTGACATTCTGCTGCGGACATAAATTTTGAAGGAAGTTTCTACTGTAATTCGTACTCTGATGCAATTTGCTTTTCTGCTTTATCTACTTTTCACAGTTCTGAAACTCATTAGTTGGAATCAGGTCATGGACTAGACGCTATCTTTTAAACCTGGTAACATATAGGAACTGCCGGGTGTCTCCCAATTTTCTCCTTTAGTTGCCTAGAATGGAAGAGTTGCCCTGCCACATAGAATATGAAGCTGCTGACCTGATGGATGCCTTGAAGAAACATGATATGGCTTTCATTTTTTCTGACTCGTATTAACTGAAATGCATCTCTATTGGAGTTATATCTATGAATTCCAGTAGTTAAGTAGTATTCCAGTTGTCTTTCTTTCGTGCTGACTTCAGAATTGCTTTAATAATGTTAGACAAATTCCTCGTATGCTGATTTCAAAAAAGAGAACTCATGCTACTGGTATGATCAGCTCACACCGCTTCTTCTTGGAAGACACGCGACAGGCAGCTGTGCCCAATGTGCAAGCGAGGTAGTACCATCGGAACCGCCTCGCCGTGAAAGAGCCAACACTTCTGCTAGGAGCCGGAAGGGAAAAGGTAAAGCCTCTAGCTCGATGTCCCCTAATCCGGCGAGCATGGGTGTCCAAGGGGATGAGGGGGACGTGTACTATGTTCCGCCAGTTCCAGGGCTGTTGGAGGAAAACGGTCAGCCTCAAGCTTGGGGACCAGCGGTGAACCGGAGGGACTAGAGGGTCAAAATTGACAAGGTCATCCACTGGACTTGAGGATGCTATTAGCAAAATTGGAAATTACTCCGAAGTTGTACTTGAGGACAGACGGAGTAGGATGGAGTTTGAGTCCCTATACAGTGTAATCCAATGCCAGGATGTGATTGACACAATGGAGATTCCGGACAACTGGAGGATACATGCTAACTGTCATTATGCCAATAGTGACAGAGAGGGGGAACGAGTTATTTTCCTCAGGGCTTCTGCAGCTGACCGGTATGGCTATATCCTTAAGTTGATGCAGGAGAAAGGCTTGGCTTGAGTTGTAGCTGTTGAAAACAGAGTATATTTGTACTAACTTAATTATGTGTGTTGCTGAGACTTTGAGTTGATTTTTCTTTACTTCTTGTTGGCCTAAAGTTTGTGACTGGTCACAACTTCTCCCGTTGGGCTGCCTGCCCAATTTTGATGCTTGTAACATAGGGGTCAGCCGTCACTTTTATTTAATTCTATGGTGTGTATTTTCTTACCCCACTTTGGTGGAGTATGCTTTGTGAGGACACTCAAATAAGATGACTTTTTCATTCATAGGAATTATGTCAGTAAGGATCATTATACTTTTTGTTTTATCATTTTGCTTCTCCTCTGTTTGTTATGCGTTTTTCTATACCATTCTGTTTTAATCATTTGGTTCTGGTGAAATTTTGTCAATGAATAGTCTTACGTTGATGATATTCATTGGACAGACGAGCATGGATTTGTTTTTTTTTTTTTTTTTTAATTTAACTTGATTCCTTGTTATTTATCATATTATTTGTCTTCTGTGTAAGTGCTTCCATATGATGTTGTACGATGATTTAGCTAATGAGCTTTCTCAAACGTGAAGTTAATCCTGAGAAAGAACTAGTTGGGGATTTTAACTGAATGCATTTGTGCCGATCTCCTGATTCTAAGGTTTCTAAATTACTAAGCATGTGACAAGTTTTACAACGTCGAATAGGGCAATTCCCAGTCGCAAAATTAAGCACAAGCTGCTCACATTAATTAATCTATTTTATACCAATTATGGAACTAATTGAATTTATTCCAAACGCACAAATCAGGTAAAACGGCAAGTGAAAAAGAACCGTCAGGATATTGCGGGTTCCAGTCAGCATATGAAAGCTTCCAGTCATGATATTGCCGGTTCCAGTCATGCTTTTCAAGTTCAGAATGAAGATGGGCCCAATGAAAAATAATAGAAAAGAAGGGAAAAAATAGTGCTATTGCCGGTTCCAGTCATGTGCTTTCCAGTCATGCTTTTTTATTTTTTGGCAGGACTATATATGTGTATGTGTCACCAACAAGCATTACATGTATAAAAGCTCATGTGCATGGAAATTTCTTCAACAACACTCCGTTGTCATCTCAAATAATTTGCCTCTGTGGAGTATTTGCCTCTGTTGGAGTAGGAACTGTCAGGACCTCACCGCAGATGACTTTTTATTCATAGCATAATAAGTATTCATCTCTTTTAACGATCTTCTAGCATAGGTTTTGTCATGTTTCCGTTGGCTTTATTCAGGGACTTGTCATGTCTGCCATACTTCGACCACCTATACTTGATACAAGTTTCATAAAATGGGGAAGTGCATGTGCTCGTATGCTTTCCACAGACTTGGAGTTATTCGATAATTGTGAGCCCAAGTAGTAGCTCACTGGTGCTGGGGCTGTCACCGAGCAACTCACGAATCTTAACATGTATCTGATAATTGAAGTTCATCCATACACCCTACAAATAACTCGTAGTACCATCATATGCATTTCAACCCAATTGCTTGCTCTACACCCACAGAACTAGTTCACGATCAGAAGAGCTCTGACGAATAACCGATCAAGTTGTTTCCTGGTAGTGTGCTCGTTGATTGTCCGAGTAGTAGCTCAATGACGGATTGGGTGAGCAATCTGCAAAAACCTATGCTAGAAGGAGAAGAAACAACAATAGAGCATCAGGAAAGCCTTGATCTTTAAAAGAGATGAATACTTATTATGCTATGAATACTTATTAAGTATGTGTGTTTAATTCCGTGACTGGAAAAAGACAAATCGATATTTGGTGAGGGTGTGCACGGGGGGTTGGGCTTCCATCTCACATCGGAGGAAGACCGTGGGTGTTCATCCTGGGTTTAAGGTCCATGGGGTGCCCGTCTTGTCACCAATTCCTTCGTCTTTGATTTTCGAAAAGGTATCCAGCTTACGATATTAGTGGATTTAGTCCAAATACACCATTTTAAGGCTCAGGGCTGGTGAAATTTTGTCCAGTGCAAGTATTTGGAGAGATCTTTATATGTGCTTTATGTCAAAGCCAGTTTTCCAATCAATTTATTTCCTTTATTACGTGGCGCAGATAATTGACAAAAAGTGGCACTATTTTCATAATAATCAAATAAATATGAAAGATAATTTGTAATTTAAAGTAAATCATTTTTCTGTGATAAGAATACTATGTACTTGCCAAGGCTAGGATTCAAATTCATGACCTTGGCAAAGGGAGTACTTGAAGAGTGATTGACCACCTAGCCAACCGAGCTACAAAATTGGTTCAAGTTAAACAAATTTTTTAAGAGCAAATTATCCCAGTGGCCACTAAACTTTTGCCATCGTCGAGTTTTGGTCACTCAACTATTAAAGGCTGGTTTTGACCATCAAACTGTATAAAAGGTAGACTCGAACCCATTCTGTTAGATTTAGTCGTTAACTTCGCAGAGGTGTCCATTTGCGCGATTTCCAATACAAAAGGTAGGGTCAATTTAGGAAGTTGAAAATAGATCTTCTTGTTCTTCTTGTATAAAGCTAATAAATATTACTTACCCGAGAGAAACTACAAGAGAAAGAAATGGAAGAAGCCTAACTTGGATTAGAGGAAGCAGGACCAAGATCAATGCCACCAAGAGCCGGGCCAGCAAGATCCATGCCACCTACATCGTTGACACCCATTTTGCCTACTTGTGTTTGTGGATGAAGACAGTAATGATAACTTCATGGACTGCACAAAATCCGGGAAGAAGATTTGCCAAATGCGCATTGGGGGAGGTTTGTAACATTTTTTTAGATACTTAATTTATTATTGTGTAAGAAATATAATGAATTTGTTTTTTTTTTTTTGAAGGATGGTTGTGGCTATTGGGGTTGGATAGATGATGAAATGTACGCTCGATCTACAATGATTATACCGCTACTCAGAAAGATCATTGGAATGGAGGAAAAAATGGTTGAATTTGAAAAGGCTGCAAGAAAGTGGGAAGCAAAAGCTGTGAAATTGGAGGGTAAAATGAAGCCACTTCAAACTGAAATTGCCAAGTACAAATCAGCCAATAAGCGACTCATTCGATGCGCAGTGTTGCCTTGGCTAATAGTTGTCTTAGCAATGTTAGTTATGAGAATAGATAATTCTGGTGGCATGCTACAAATTTGTGGCATCGTTGAAAATCCTTGAAGAATAGCTACTCTGTTGTAATGGTAGCATATTGAAAGGGAAAGGGCAAATGGCTTTATAAAGCCCCTTTTGTACCCCTCTGTATAAACATTTTGATGTATAAAAGTTGTATTGTTCACATGAATAAATAGTTATTATTTGGTGTCAAAAAAGGTTTGAAACAACACATTTCAGTTCTACTAATTTCATCAATAAATGACAGAGACATAAGAACTAAACAAAAGTGCTGCATTAACATAGAACAATCTGTGTAGATTGGACAAAATAAATTGTTTGTACATATGGACCATGTTCGTAATAGGTCAGCATATCAAATCCAAAACAAACTTCATACAAAAAGACAAAATGTAGTTGAATTATGTCTCAATCTAGCTATAGCTTTACTTCCTCTTCAATTTGATCCTCTTTTGACTCTTGGTTGTCCTCTGGTAGTTGTTGCTGAAGTTCCTCCTCTTCTAGTACCAGCTCTACTCCAATTTCCAACAGTGAAAGGAGGTTCTTTACCTAAATATGCATAATTGGCATTGATCCGCCCCTTTTCTGAATCTGTTAACTTTCGTTTTCCTGCTTTCCTTTGTTGATGAGCCCCTTGGCTCTGAGACTGTTGTTGGTTTTGTACAACTTCTTCCTGCTGTCGATGCTGTGGATGTTCACTTTCCTCAACAGCAGATTGTGATTAGTGGGCCAATGGACAATTCAAACTTCTCCATTGCAGTTGTCCTTCTCTGTATCCTTTCCATCAGAAATATCCTAATGGACTCTAACATTTTGATAATTGACTGCTGCCTAGCTTCAAGTATATGACCATTAAAACTTTCACACAAATTATTAACCAACATATCGCATCGAGTATGTTCTGAAAAAAAGTCTTACACCAATGACTGGGATGTGGTGCTTTCTTCACCCATTCATATGCTTCCTTGTCAAATTTTTCCAGATCTGCTGTTGCTTTCTTGAATAGTCCCTCAGTAGTACTTGCTGCAATGTTCCACAGTTTTGTCTTCAGGGCAAGTCCACGATGTTTCTTCTTGAAGTTGTTATACAGGTGCTGCACACAGTATCTGTGCTCACTGTTTGGTAGTACCTCAGATAATGCTCGGTCAAGACCCTATAAATTATTACAAACAAAAGGCATTAGTAAATTGAAACAGATCTGTGTACTGTGCATATACAAAGGGAAGGAGTTAATACCTTCTGCTGGTCAGAAACAAAGGTGTAGCTGTACCCATTTTCAATCTGCAAGTCATTCTTCAGCAGCTCAAAAAACCATTTCCACTGTTCAGTTGCTTCCCTCTCAACCACTGCCCAAGCAATGGGCCACCATCCATTGTTGGGATCTACTCCAATAGCAGTCAACAGCTGTCCCCGATATTCAGCCTTTATGTGGCATCCATCAACCCCAATAATGGGCCTACAACCGTCAAGAAAGCCTTGTTTTAATGGTCCCAAATAGCAATAAAGTCTCATGAATTTTGGGTTGCATCCAGGTTGTCTGAAGGGAGTAAACATAACTTCCATTGTGGTATTTGGGTGTGTCCTCTTAATTTCTGCACAATATCTCCATATGTCCGTATATTGCTGCTCTGCATTCCCTTGAATCTCCTTTTTAGCAATTGCCCTTGCATTGTATGCCACCCATTTTGAAATTTCAGCTTTGAAGTCCTCATCAACTATTTGTCTTAATAATCTTGGAGGCATTTCAACATTACATCTAAATCTCTCCATGTACTTGTTTGCAAGCCACTTAGCAGAAATATTCTTGTTCTTCCATACATGACTGCAGTTTGTGTGCTCATTATTCATGCTCTTGACAACCAAATCAGCTATTCCAAGTTCCCTCTCAACTGAAGCATAAACAAACCATTGGCAAGGAGGTTTTGCATTTTGCTCTAAACCTTTTTTTTTTCATTTGTGTATGGCTTACTGGTTTTCCTTTCATGATGGAATATGTTCTAACAGCTAATCTTAGCTGTTCAGCTGACTCAAAACTTCATTCCTATGTGAAACTCAAAATTAGGGTCTTTTAGATCTCTCTCCGGATTGAAATCAACATACCTATTCCTCCAGTCATCATCATTCTCTTCATCTGAGGAGCCAGCATCACTATGCAATTCAGTCACCACTGTGTCTTTATCTAATGCATGGACATCATCTAAATGAGGAGCTGCCTCTTCTCCTGATGCTCTATTGTTGTTTCTTCTCCTTCTAACTTGCTTCTTCCTCCGCGACTGTTGGTTTCCAGTTCCCACATCCGTGGGTTGTTCTTCTTTTGTCTCAGGCTGCTGCTGATGTTCAAATTCAGTTTCAAGTCCTGATTGTTGTGACCATGGATCCATCCCAACTGTTTGTTATTGTCTGCCTAGCTCATCTACAACTGATTCTTGCTGTTGTGCAGCATTATTACAATCATCATTAGAATTGGGATGTTGTGAAGATCTAGGTTGCTCTGTATTTGAAAAGAATTATTTAAATGGACTACTCTTTTTTTTTTTTGAAAAAATATACAATGTTTTGGCCATGGGTGATAATTTTATACTTTCACACTCTGCTCACCCCATTTCTTGATATGACTATCTTGTGGGGATATATTGAAAGAAGCCATAAAGTTTCTTTCTTTTCTTTTTGTTTTTCCTTTTTCAATACAAATTTCTAAACCGTTTACGGTATTAGCCTGTTTGATATAGAATTTGGCCAATTCCTAGTACTCTTTTTGGTAAGAATTGCATAGTACTGTATCAAAGTAAATCATCATAACCTTCATAAAAAAGAAATGAAAAAGCTATTCAATAAACTTTAAACATGATGTAAGTTAGGATTAATCTTTACATGAGCGGGTTTGGATGCATGCCATGACCACATATACACAGGTTGAATTTGAAAATTGGATAAACATTATGTCATGTAATTACATTTTACCTAAAAGTGTAAAATAAGTTAATTGAATAAACACTGTATTTGCCCCCACGTGAATGGGCTGGTGTTGGCGCCTCCTCCTCGGGACCGTTAGGTCCTGGGGTCGAATCTCCGCAGCAACATCAGTTCGCCGTGCATTTAACGTGCTAGGTCTGGTTGGGGCGCTGGACCGGGCCGGAGTGGGGATTAGTCGGGCCGCCTTTACGGACTTGACCCGGACACCCCACCCCGTCGACAAAAAAAAAAAAAAAAAAAACACTGTATTTAATTAGCACTAGTTTTAGAGGACTTCAAAGCGGAAGTATTTTGAGCAAGTGAAGTTAAACAGTGGCATTGTCTTGAGTGCACGGTGTCAACAAACAAATGTATGCGTCAATGTAAAGTTCATAACTCAAGTTCACTGTTTTCTGGTGGTTTGTAAAACAGATTCTTTATTGTCTGAATTCCTGATTTAAGTTGGGTGACTGTCTTTTTATCTTCAATTTATAGGGCATGCTTAATTGAGGCTTGGTAGGTGTTCTGAAACTGTTATCTGATTCGTTGCTGGAACGATATGAAGAGGAAATCGGCATGTTCTATTGTTCTATTGAAAAGACGAAAAAGAAAATTCCTTACCCTCCGTTTGATTATTGTCCATATAAGAGAATATTGAAATACACATGATGGAAATTGAACCAAGCTTCAACCAAGTAAAAAATTCTAAATTCTGGTCACCTTTAGCTGTTTTGGGGTTTTTATTCAGTTGTCTTTTGGGCGTATTTAGTTTATTCCTTTTGGTATTTTGCTGGCAGCCTTGGCATGAAGGTTGGCTTTTGAACATCATGTCTTCAATTACTATAATGATGTCCAGGGATCTCCTTTACACAAAACTGTTTTGGGAAATAGATTAGAACTCGATACTGATTTAGTACATTTGACATTGCTATTCAACCTGCTGGAACTGTAACTTCTGGATAGCAAGGATACTTGTTGACGTAAACATTGCCTTTGTCTTTCTCATTCTTTTCTAATTGGTTTTTTGCAGCAGTGTTGCAGTTATAAAATCAAATAAGGACACTGGATACGCATTGGATTGAATTTTTACACATGATGGAGAAAAATTGCAATGCTGGCCGTTGGCGAATCTTTCATCATTCAGACAAAAGCTTGGTACTGAGGCATATGAGAAGGTATGCTCTGTTGAAATTGACCTTGTACTTGAGAATTAGTGCTGCATCTTGGTCTGGTACCAACTGCCTGAGCATGCATATGATGTTTGGTTTGCCATGTACTATCTTGCAAGAATGCTAAATGACGACATATTTTAGAAGGAACATAAAACTTAAAATAATTTTTCATCTGACCATTATGACAGTCCTATTTTATAGTACACCATCATCTTGAAGTTATTGGTATAGACGAAGCACAATTTTTTGAAGACCTTTATGATTTTTGCTGTGAAGCTGCTTACCGTGATGGCAAGACTGTAATAGTTGCTGGGTTGGATGGTGATTATCTAAGGTACTCCTACATTTTGTATGTGGATCTATCTAGTCATCCCAAATAGTTTTGGTGGATGCTTTCCTTTCTTATGGCATGAGTTTGTCCACTTCTCATTGAACAGTAGATATTTGTTATGCATTATTTAAACCTCTTGAAGTTCAGTTTTCTGATGCTTGGAAGTTTCATCCTTGCTGACCTCCTCTTTTGTTGTTCAGGAGAAGTTTTGGATCTGTGCTTCAAGTTATACCCCTTGCGGACTCTGTAACCAAGTTAAATGCTGAGCTCTGTGGTAATTGAGAAAGACAGAGGAGACTGAAACAGAACTAGTTGCTGCAAAATTGCTGTATAGCTTTCTTTACAAGCTTTCTTTCAAGGTGGTGCAGTTGTATAGTTGTGTACAACAGAGTAGGAAATGCGGCTGCTCATATCTCAGGCTAGAAATTTTGCATTTGCATATGGTGTCTAATTGCAGAATTGGTATACCCTTGTTTGAGTATATCAAATCTCATTGGTCAGCAATGAACTATATTAAATAGGTGATTTGTGCTCCTTAGATGTCTCCATTTTTATGAGGACATGTACCTTTTCTATGTTACTCATGAACTGTATTAATGCATGATTTTACTTTCTCTTTTTGTGTGCTATGAATGTTGAAAAAGCGGAAATGAGGCTTCTTGTGCTGGATGATAGTCAGACTTGGATTCATTTTTCTCGACTTTACTTAAAATATTATGCTTACTGAACAGTGGCTACATATTTTTATTTCTGAAATTTGATGTTATGTTACCTTATAATAACTTATCCTATATTATAGTAATTCTTGTTTATATTCTATTTGTCCTTTTTGTGTGAGTTACAAAGAATCTACAAGTAATGTGTAGACCGAAAAAAAAAAGGCCTCAGGACCTCTAGGTATTAAGGGTCCGTCTGGTTCATACAATGACACGGGATTGGGCTAATCATCCTGTGTCATCCCATATTTGGTTACATTTTATATATGAGATGACACATCTTACTTAATCGAATTAATCCCCTATTCATGGGATAAAATAATCTCATGGGGGAGATGGGATTAGTCATCCTGAGATGATTAACATATAGAATGATAAAATTTTAGACTAATTTATCCTTACAAAAAATACAAATTATACTCTTATAATTATATAATCCTACTCTCACATGATAATATAATATGAATGGACTAATTTGCCCCTACTATTTAATTTTAAAGTTTTTTTGACTAATTTGCCCCTACTACCAATATAACAATATTTGGGCTAATTTATCCTTATGAATGATTCAAATTCAAATTAGCTATTATATTACCATACTCTCACATAATAATATCATAATAAATAGACCAATTAGTCCTTACTAATTCTATTAAAATTTTTGACTAATTTGCCCCTATTCATTATTTTAAAAATTTTGACTTACCCCTATTAGCTAATTAAAAATTTTTGGCTAGTTTGCCATACTAATATCATAATATAAGGACTATATTGCCCTTGGACTAAATTACCCTTACTAACCTTATTTTCTAAATGAAATTTATATAAATATATATTCTTTTCAATTGGACTTTGTGAATGAGGACTTCAACAAGCTCAAACCCGATCCAAAGAAAAATCTTCTATATTAGCCTGAATTCGGCTCAGTGAAAGCTCTTAAATGAATTAGGTTTTAATCGATTTAACCTCAATTTTGCCAAAACTTGGCCCATTATTTAATTGAATTTCAAATTTAGGTTCAAAAGCTTGGTCAAAATCTATTTTTAAGGGGTTGAATGGGCTAAGTTTGAGTGAATACAAATTTTTATATATCAAAACCCTTGGTATACTTTATAATTATAAAGTTTTAAACTACTCTATTTTAATAAAATTTATAAATATTAAATTATTTTATTAATATTTTATAAAATATTAAATTATTGTATTAAAAAGAATCTACAAATTAAGGGATGCTTTGGTCATTAAAATAGTAATCCTTCCTCATCCACTCTCCAACCAAACACAAGATAGGATTATTTTCCAACATATAAGAACCAATCAAACACTAGATAACTTGGATTATTTATCCGGGATAACTCAACCCAGGATTAATAATCCAAGGATGAGTCATCCCATCTCATCCAGTCTGTGAACCAAACAGACCATAAGCTCAATCTTGGCCTCTTAAATTCCATCCTTCCCTACTAGGGAAAAATGAAAAAATAAAAAAATAATTTATTTAGTCAATATTGAAATAAAATAAATTGGTATTGATTAACTTAAATTAAATAATGAAAAATCAACTAACATTTCGGCCTACAAATTGCACCAATTTTATGTGGGTCTTAAATCAAATTAAAGGTGCAATGCCCATTTATTTAAAATGGATTAATTGATCATATCAACTCACAATGAACTATTTGGACTAGCACATTTGTTGGAGTTTGTTTTTAAGTGGGTTTCTTGAGTTACAAACTGCTCAAGTTGAACAAAAAAATCTAAAGGATTTCTTTCAAAACCAACATATTTCACATTTTTGCACTTCTAGATAGTTTGTCAGAGACACTAGATCAGTGTAGCAATCTGCAAAATACGTGGTGGTTATCAAGCACATTAGGTAAGTAGTAAATTCAAAAGTGAAATGAAATCTAACCCAGACGTATGCTGCCCAGTCACCCTTAATTGCAATTTCTGTGTTTCTTTCTTTCTTGTATGGAAAACTTTTATACTCTATGCGTTATACAAATTTGAACGTCAAAAATTGAATTGAAATAGTCAATTTGAATATGTATCATGCAAAATCCAAATAATCCCTATGATATAAAAGCCATCGACTGCATAATTTTTTTTACTTTTTGGTCCTTGGTGCAAACAAATCTCTTTATGCCATTTTTAGTACGAAACGAGGATGAAAACTTTGATGTCATCATTAATGTGCTGAGTTTTTTTAAGTAAATGGCATTTTATGTGCTGGTTATCAATTTTGTATATATATATATATATATATATATATATATATATATATATATATATATATATATATACACAAACACGTATATAAATAAGTTTATGGAATTAGATATACACACATGAAAACACACTTATAAAAATATATACAGATATATACTCAATTATCATGGCATGAAACAACCGCCGGGGTGTTAGGGGATGCAATTCAGATCGCATGAGGCAAGATGAGGAAGATGAGGCCTTACTACTTATGAGTGCCTCGTTAATGTTAATGCATCCGTCTCTTGCACACATAAGGAACAATCAACCAATTCCGCAACATGATGGCTCGGTCACGAATATACAATGGGTGGAGCGATTACTGAACAGTCATCATAGACGATCAATAGACAACATGCGTATCACAGTTGATAATTTTCTGCAACTTTTAGATCTCCTTGTGGAGCGCCAGTACGTTCCACACAACTACCAACACCGCGTGCCCATATAGGAGGCGCTAGCTATGACCTTAATGTTGGTGAGCCACAAGCATATGCACCGTGTGTTGGGGAGTATTTTTGATCGATCCATCGAGACGATTAACCGAAATATAAAAAAGGTGCTCCGAGGCCTGTGTCTATTTGCAGCTGAAATAATACGATTGGGTGACCAGACTACAGTTAATCCACGAATTGCAAACTCAACAATTTTTTATCCGTGGTTCAAGGTAATGTATACAGAAGTGCTTTTATCATAGGGGTTGCTGTTGTTCTGTTATTACAAACTAAATGACTAATATGTGTTTTTCATGAATATTAGGATGCCGCAGGAGCAATGGATGGCACCCACATCTCAGTGTCCTCGACAGGCGAGCAAATGGCATATACAAATCGGCACAGGTTTCAATCACAAAATTCTGGCAGTGTGTGACCATGACATGCGCTTCATCTATGTGTATGCTGGATGGGAGGAAAGTACACATGATGCGCAAGTATTGGAGTCTGCATTAGCATATCCGTCCGATTTTTCACTGCCGCAACCTGGTAATTAATCCTCAAGATTTTCCAAGTCAATAAATGAAATGCTTTAAATGCTAAACTCCCGTCACTTGGCATGTTTGATTAACTTATTTTCACTTTTTCAATTAGGCAACTACTACTTAGTTGATGCGGCATATAGGAATGTTCTTGGCTTCATGCCCCCGTATAAAAACGTGGGCCCCAAATCACCGACAAAGAGCTTGTTCAATACTCGGCATTCTCAGCTTTGAAATGTCATTGAGCGTACGTTCGGTGTGCTAAAGAAAAGATTCAAATTTTTAAAGGGTCCGGTAGATAATTTCTACATGAGCACTCAAATAACTATAGTCATTGCTTGTTGTGCGCTACACAACTTTTTAAGGATGCACCAGCCAGAAGATGACCATTTTCAACGGTTCGAAGCAGAGGATGTGCATTTAAATGAAGAGCCAGAAGTAGGGGTCCAGTACCACAACCGTTCGCATTGAATGTATCTCTTGCAGAGCTTGCAGAATAGATGGCCAAGCGAGACTACATAGTGACTCAAATGTACGCAGCACAGGGGCGATGATGCCACTAGGTGTTTTTTGAATTCACCGATAAATAATTGTTAGTAACAGTACAATTGATGGATGGAGTGTACTTAAAATGGCCTCTTCTTCCAAGCTAATAAATTAATGTGTACGGTATCTGTATTAAGTGTGAATCGGTTTATATTTTAAGTCGTAAAAGTCAAAATTGTCAAAGTCAAAGTCAACTGATTAAATTCAATAATGAGCACCTGTCCAAACGATAGTTTACACGATTTACTTTCTATCCAAACACTTATTTCATATTTATGCAATCTTACAAAGTAACCTTAAAAAAATCCCAAATAATCTACTGTCTACAGCTTTTGATGACATTCTTTGCATCTTTTATTGTAGTCCACGACAATTTTAGACGGTGCAGAGGTAAAAGGGTCTATTCCACAAAAAGTGTTTTTTCACTTTTTTCTCACAAGCCAACACGATAGACCCCAAACGTTTCTTGCATTAACTATTTAAAGTTTAAGGAATATTTGGTAAGTAGGTTTTATACTGACGAATAAGTTTCAAATTCAATATTTAGATTTTGTAATAAACTATTTTTTTAATAGGGAATTAATGTTCACTTACCTATTTGTCTCGTATTTTTAGTTAAAAATAAGAAAGTTAAAAGCAATGCTAGAAGAAATGGAGAGAGTGGGAAGAAAATAGAAGAAGAAGGAAGGGAAAATGAAAAATAAATGTAAATCCCATAGCAACTTTTATAGTTTCGCCATCCAATGTAGTTATAGCTAATAGCGTGAAAAACAAAGCCTGGTGGTGCCAACTTATTAGGTGGTGGATGGGGCCTTACTAATTTCTATTCCAAACAAATTTGTCTTTGTGTATAAATAACTTGGAATTGCGGTATAAATAAATTATAATATGGTGTAAAAAAACCTTGAAATAATCATTTTATCTTGAAATGGGGAGAAATAGAACTTGTCACTCCTCGAATTTCTATTAGGTGTACCACCTATGTATGTAGTGGCTAGAGTGAAAATTATTTTTCGGTGATTGGGACATAGCTAATAACAAATTCTTTTTAATTTTATAGCTACACTTTAAATTTATGTTATTCACTTAGCATGTAACATTAGGAAAATTTCATTAAGACTCT